TGAGCATTCTCTTCACAAGACTGTCCGACAACGGAAGAGTGTCTTCAGTCAGAGGCTTCTTCAGTTTCGCTGCAACACTGACCGCTACTGGAGATCCTTCCTGCCAACAGCCATTGTAATATACAATAACTCTTAGATGACTTGATTATTATTCTGAGCTACTGCAGCAATCAATTTCCCTCTGGGATTAATAAAGTATTTTTGAATTTGAATTTAATTGAATATGGCCTCAAGGTCTCATGCATTTGTTATAAACTGCTTCTTTCCAGCTCAAGAGAAGAATGAAGAATGGACTCTCTCCTTTTAATAAATCAAAAAACTCTATTTTTAATAAAGCTAATCAAACAAAGTGTTAGTCAATAATAAGATGTGACCAATCAGTGAAATCAAAATATTAATTACTTTATTATAATCCTATAGAATATAATAAGTAATATGACTTTAAATGTTCCACTAGGACTGATCTCACGTAGCTTTAAGAGACATGACACATTGCTTTACTGATCCATTCAGAATCTGCCAGATCAGACGGAGGTGTGGTTTTGACGGCGCTTGGTAAATCTGTCATCTTTTCATTCGACCATAAACCAAAACATCCAAAGTATAAAACTATGCCAGTTCAAAGCATTCGACAGAAGTTGACAGAGTGGCCAATCCGTAACTTTCCTCTTCAGCCGAAAAACCAACGGCAAGCTGGATAAAATCTGTTGTTGTTCCAACTGCTGCAACGGTTCCTTTCAGAATAAAAGCTGAACCATCACGACCCCGTTTTGGGTCTTGTTAGATGCCGATAAACCGTTGTGACCCGGAAGTATCTCAAGACTGGTGGTCGGCTGCCGCGGCTGTTCTGCAAGCTTTGGCTCCACAAAGGTCAAGCTGGACCTCTACACCTCCTGATCTAGACGGGAACTTCCACAAGGGTGCGTAGACCAACAAAATGGCGTCTTATGTGTTTATGAATCTCCTAACCAAAGCTTAACGCGAAGACATCACCTTCAATTCCCATCAGAACTAATCGTTTCTTCGGATTGGCTGGTTCTGAGCAACATTCCACACTACACCATTCTCCGTCTCATTCACCTTATTACACCATACATTTAGTGTTAAAGTTAGTCTAGTTTTAATTTGTTTAGTAATAAATCTTTAAACCTTTAAAACCTGACTCTCTCTCTCTTCTGTTGTCTCTGAGTGAATATGAAGTGGTTGCATAATCCCTGCAATAAAAAGTTCCAGTCTTCTGGTTAAACAATACCCACAGATCCATAAGGTTGATTTCATATTTACTATGGAATCTGTTGTCTTATGGCTCATTAAATAACATGTAAATTAACTCATTACAGTATGTAAGAAGTTGAACCAGTATCATGGGGAAGTCTACTAATGCTGAACTGGGACTGGTCAGGGGAAAACAAGCAGAAATATCCGAATAGATACTTTGACTGTCCTCATGTTTTTACACAATCTTTTTATCTTTCCGGGCCATGCATCTCTTCAAATTTTGCCTGCCGCCAGTTGCTCCTTTCACTTTTTGCACAAGGATCTGCTGCGGAGGGATTCTTGACTTGTTACTGCCATGCTGCGTTTGTTCCAGTGACAGAGAGAGAGGCCCGTGGTGTGGATGTGATTCAGCTGGCTGATTCAGCCCATTAAACGGCTCTAAGAAAAGAAAGGGCCCTCCGGCTTCAGCCTGCTGCTGGCTGCCAGTCCCAGGACTTACTGTACGCCTTTCACTAAACAGAAACAATGTATTTTAGCACTTGGATTCATAACAGCTTGTAGCTGGTTGAGAGGTGGAAACTTGGACGTTCTTATTTGCAGCAAAAATAAATAAAAAATAAAATGGCAGCACATCCCAGCATGCACCAGTAAGGTCTCTCCTCCACCAACTCTACTGTAATTACATGCAATCCAGAAATCAGGTTATCCCGCAAATTAAACAGCAGGTTTCAGAAGTAAGAATGTGTGTGCACACTGCAGGTCAGGGGCATTTATTTCCAGGATTATTTTGAAAAATTCTAAGATCCTGTGCTGAGGATTTCTGTGGAACAAAGTCAGCTGATGACAGTAAAATGTCTCAATCCCTGTGCTGTGCTGGGTTGTTCTTGTGAGTTTAGTCGTTATAAGTTGAGTCAGATTAGTCATGGCAGCACGAGTGATGTGGGCTGATAAGGCTGTGTGCTACTAAAACATGCTGGCTGTTTTAGAAGTGCTGGACCTGAAACCTGGACTGTCCCGGCTCAGTTTCACTTCCTGTTGTTGGAATATTTTTACTTCTTAACTTTTTTATGATTTTTGTTTTTACTCTTGGTCCTGGATATTTTACATGAACAAAATAAATTGAATAAATAAAAAAACAACCATTTTAATCAGCGTGTTCATTTTACAGCATACAACCTATTAGGGTGATTGTAAATGAATAAATTAACTGAAATAGTCAAAGTTTGAGAATATTTAACTGTTTATGTGAAAATTAACATTGTATTAATGTTGGAAAGTCTTAAAATACATTTTAAAAAATCAAACATTAAAGGCAAAAATCCATGAGAAAAAATGATTGTTATTGTTTGATATTGTAACTTCAAAAGAGACTCGTGTTTTACCTTCCAATACATACGATTTAAACAAAACTTTGGATGTTATTGAGCTGGTAATTAATTTTATGACATAAAAGGCAAAAAGTGATGTTCTGCTGAAGTCACTGTCCGGATAAATAATTGTATCTCATGGCACCATCTAGTGGCTGACAAGCATATCACACAAGATGTTAGTTTCACTTCTGTACGTAAGGCTGAAAGGAACGCCTTTTGTTCATGAATGTGCTTCTCTAGCTAAACAAAGCTAAAACACATCGTCTTACAGTTATTACGCTCATGTTATGTTGTGTTTTTGTATTTTTACTATATTTTTTATAATCTACTTGTCCATGAGAAAAGTAGCCAACTCTGCATCAACCGGGGTACGTCCTTAAACGCTTGAGCACGCTCTGTGATTAACATATGTACGTAAGTGGTAAACTAAGGCTAGTGCTGACCGACGCTCAGATCACATATTTTCATATTGCATTAAGCTCTATGGGACAGAGGGCGGGTTTAGCAAAAAAACAAACAAAAAAAAAACCCATCCTGAATGGCCTCAATTTAAAATAGTTTTGGTCTGAGCGCAACCAAGACTAAACATATTGTGTAAACAGTAAACAGTAATTAGAACATTTTAACCCATCACATAAACTGCAAAAAAGAATCCTGTTTTCCTTATTTCCGATTATAACTGTTCATGCAAGCTGAACATGAAACTAGTCTCCTACACCTATCTCCTGCATTAGCTTCTGATAGAAAACAGACAGTGAAACCAGGATTAGAAAAGCCTGACAGATCTACATCACACTGTCACTTATAACATTCATGGACTCACCCATCTTGACTCGCGATGTGGAAGGTTGTTGTTGGTTTAGTGTCCAGGAAACAGCGGAGAACGTCTCGGCCAGTAGAAGCTAACTGTTAGCATTAGCAACATCACCACTTAGCAGAACTCCTTTAGGCTTGTGTTATTTGTGGAGGTAAAACATCAGCGTTGCAAATCAAACAGAGTTAGAGGTAGAGTTGGTTTGCTGTCAGGTGTTTTTTTTTTCAAAACACACACACACACATGCACACATACACGCACGTAACCCTGTTTCCTACTTCATAGCTTTAACTTGGGAGGTGTTACATGAATCATGGTGGAACAGAAAACACAGCAGAGATTTTGTTTTGGGATTTTTCAGATTAAGATTTTTCTAAAATGAAGTCGGTTTGTTTCTGTTTGTCTCGTCACACACTGACTCTAATAATGAGACGTATAAAGATATTCTGACAAATGTGTCAAATCCTAGGAGTGGGTTGAGACGCCCTGTTCCTGTTCCAGAGAGGGAGGGAGGAACACCAGTGGAGCGGATAGAAACAAAGATGCTTTACTCGAACTCAGAGCAAACAGCTGCAGCCACAGAAAACTCACTTCAAACCATTTGCACAAACACAATCAGTTGTATCTGTGTTCTGAATATTTCACGCCTGAACTTTCAGTTTCATCCAGATTGCTGAAGAACACCTTGCTGTGTAGTTCTGCAGCTGGAGAACCCAAACTGACATTTCTATCAAACAAGTTTTGATAAGATACACAAGTAGTCACAAAAAAGCAGCAATAAAAAAAAAAAACAAGATTGATTTTAAGGACATTTTCAGCAAGTAATCACTGGCTCCACAAACAGCTGAGAAAACTCAAATGTCCTCTGTGGCCCAGCAGTTTTGAGTCAGGGCTGTTCAGTAATGATGAGCGATCGTGAGATCGATAGGCGGACTGATGCCGCGTCTGCAGTGATGCGGGCGTTGTACCGGTCTGTTGTGGTGAAGAGAGCGGAGCCAGAAGGCAGATCTATATCCTCACCTGGTCAAAAGCTTTTAGTGACTGAAAGAATGAGATTGTGAATACAAGCAGCTGAAATGAGTTTTCTCCATAAGGTGTCTGGGCTCTCCTTTAGGGTGAGGAGCTCGGTCATCCAGGAGGGGCTCAGAGTAGGCAAGTCGCTCCTCCACATCGAAAGGAAACAGGTGAGGTGGCTCTGGTATCTGATTAGGATGCCTACTGGATGCCTCCCTGGTGAGGTTTTCTAGGAATGACCAACCGGAAGAAGACCCAAGGAAGACCCAGGAAACGCTGGAGGGACTATGTCTCTCAGCTGGACAGGGAACGCTTTGGGATTCCCCCGGAGGAGCTGGCCCAAGTGGCTGGGGAGAGGGAAGTCTGGGCCTCTCTGCTAAGGCTGCTGCTACTGAGACCAGATTCTGGATAAGCGGAGGATGGATGTTCTATAAGCTGCTAGTGCCAGGACTCAAATACTGGTTTAGTTGACCAACAACAGCTGGATTAAGGAAGAAAAAAATGACAAGATGCCAATCTTCTTTACCATATTCTAAGATCTCAGTCTCACACAGACATCTCTTCCTTTCAACTTTTGTCCACAGATAGTGTCTAACATCCTGATTTTCTCCTGCACCAACATTGTTGGGGTGTGCACCCATTACCCCGCTGAGGGCTCCCAGAGGCAGGCCTTCCAGGAAACCCGGGAATGCATCCAGGCACGCCTTCACTCCCAGAGGGAAAACCAGCAGCAGGTAGGCTTTGAAGGTGACTAGAAGAGAAACGTAGAAGCGAATCTACAGTAGATTCCAATCTAAACTCAGAAAATCAGGGTTTTACTTGACATTTGACACTTTCTTTTTACTCACTTTTGATTTTTCTTGTAAGGGATCACCTGGAAGTTTATAAGCCAAATATCTAGCTGTGGTAGGAGGGACTGGCTTTTGACTCAAGTCTAATAATATAGTAAATGATCATTTTATTTCTGAGAATTCTTAATTCTGTAACATCTCTAACGATAATTATTTCATTTTCATGTGAATTAGTTCTCAGCCATGGCATTCCCTCGGGTCCAGCAGCTACCGTGTTTTCGTCTTTTAGGCTTTTACCTGCACAACAAACTCATTGCTCTTCTTTCTTCTGCAGGAGCGTCTCCTGCTCTCGGTACTTCCTCGTCACGTTGCCATGGAGATGAAAGCTGACATAAATGCCAAGCAGGAGGACATGATGTTTCATAAGATCTACATCCAGAAGCACGACAACGTCAGGTAACATCAGGGCTGACGGAGGAAAACAGATTAAAGCGAGTCTAATGAAAGAAAGAAAATCAGTGAAAATACATTTCTGAAACCTTAAAGCTCACCATGAGCATGCTGATGAACAAGAGATGGAGAAAGAGAAAGAGAGAGATATTTCATTGGGTAATTTACAATCATTTCTTAGCGTATGTTGTACCAGGAAGTTCAAGATGGAGAGCAGGAAGCCTAACATGCTCCTTTCTCCTCTGATCCATCTCAAACATCTAAGGTCAAACGCAGCTCCACTTGGGTTTGCATTGTTGAGTTTAAAGGGATATTCCATCCCTGAGTGAACTGTTGTCTATTTCTGTATTTCCCAGAGTTAGACAAATGAGAAGAAAGCATTTTTGTAACTAGTGCAGTAACTCTATCACGAGGAACAATTGGTATCATTGTTGAATAATTTTGCACACAAAATGCTAGTTCCTGCTATTTCCTTGCATTGTTTATGCTAAGCTAAAGCTAATGGACCACTGCCAGACCAGGAGAATTACTGCGCTATTGACAAAAATGCTATCTTACTCCTACTGCACACTGGAAGCAAAAGCGGCACCGAAAGGGCACCGAAATGGCACCACTTCAGATACAGTCTATAATAGTCAACCGGCTGCGATCGACACGGCCATTTCCAGAAGCGCTGCTAAAGGTAAAATCAGGTTCTATTTTTTTCCGCGAACCACTTCTGGGATGTCTCCAGCTCAACCAGAACAAAACTGAAGTTTTAGTTATCGGTCCTGAGGCCCAGAGAGAGAAGCTTTTACCAAAATTACAATCACTGTCTCTTAATTCATCTTCACAAGTGAAGAAACCTGGGTGTCATCTTTGACTCTGAGCTGACTGTCATCCATCATATTAAAAATATCACCAAAATAGGTTTTTAATCATCTAAAGAACATCGCCAGAGTCCGCCCCATTCTCTCTCGGGCCAATACGGAGACTCTGATGCACGCTTTTATCACCAGTAGAATAGACTACTGTAATGCCCTGATTTCTGGTCTTCCTAAAAAGAGGATTTCAGGTTTACAACTATTACAAAACTCAGCAGCACGTGTCCTGACGAAGACCAGGAGGCGGGAGCACATTACTCCAGTTTTAGAATCACTGCATTGGCTCCCCGTATGTTTCAGGATCGATTTTAAAATAATTTTAAAGTAATTTAATAGTTTTTAAGTGTCTTAGTGGTCTTGGGCCTTCTTATCTTTCAGAACTGCTTTTACCGTATGAACCCACGCGGTCTCTGCGCTCCTCTGGCAGCCGTCTCCTTGTCATCCCTAAAGTCAGGACACATATTCACGGCAAGGCGTCTTTCCAGTACTACGGTCCTCACCTCTGGAACGAGCTGCCAGGGGAACTCAGGGCTGCTGAGAACGTTCATGTTTTTTAGAAACAGGCTCAAGACCCATCTTTTTAGCTTAGCTTTTAACTGAATACTATCACTTTTTAAATTATTTAATTACTTAGGTTATTTATTTATTTATCTATATATTTTTTATTTAATGAATTATTTTTTGATACGTGCTTTTTAAACAGTTGTTTTACTATGATCTATGATCAACATTATTTTAATATCTATATAACTTTTTATGTTACAATTCTCATTTTAGCTCTTTTGATTTTATATTTTAACCTTAATTTAACCTTTTTCCAGTGCTTCCTCTGTGGGAGCCCTCTGCCCTGGCGGCGGTGGTCGGCTGTGGTGGCCTGGGTGCTTTCCATGTGTGCCTGGGTGGTGGTGGGGGTCTCTGCCCTCCCTGACCTGGGCGCCCGGTGTCAGTGCCTTGGCTGCTGCTGTAGATCTGCCGCTGCCGGGGCGGATGGTTCCCCTGATGGTGTTTTCTTATCCTTGTCTTAGCTGGTCTGGCTCATCTGATCTCAGTCAATCGTGCTTTTTTACCATGGGGAAGGGGGCATGTATGCATGTGTGTGTGCGTGTGAGTGTGCGTGTGTGTGTGTGTGTGTGTGTGTGTGTGTGTGTGTGTGTGTGTGTGTGTGCTGGAGGATGAGAATTGTGAAGGGGTTTTTATTGTCAGACTGTTTTTAAAATTCTGGGGATGGGAGGGAATGTGGGTATGCGGGGCCTTTTTAATTTGTTAAGCACATTGAGTTGCATGTATTGTAGGATTAAGTGCTATGTAAATAAAAGTTGATTGATTGATTGATTGATTAATTGATTGATTGATGTGTCAGTTACCGCAATCAACATAACGCTAGACAGGAACTCACATACGTTTTCAGTGTAAAATCCCCAGTGATTTTCAAAATAACAGTATTGCAGTGATGCAATTTCATATATATGTAATTTACGTGCAGGGGTAGACTGGCCTCTCTGGCATTCTGGCACTGTCCCGGTGGGCCGCTTAGCCAAGCGAGATGGCTAAGTCATAATTATGAGATGATTTATTTTTTTTTATCTATGTGGCAGGAATGGGCTTCCATACTTCCTTGACAATCCTTGTCATTGTGTGGGAAAAAAAGTGTATAAATAAAAATGAATGACGTGTGTTCATAGGGAAATCGCTGGTGAGCCGTGCTGACTCATGTTTGCGCATGCGCCGTGAGCAGCTCTGGTACTGTTTAAGTCGCAGTCGCTTGCAGCGCAGCTTCAACGGGGCGATGCACTCATGAGGAACGAGCAAAAAATCAATTACGTATGAGCTCACGACTGCTGATCAGGAGCTGGTCACGTGGTGGTAATTGTCTCTCGTTACCCCTGTATACACGATGCTCAGCACAAAACTTGCCCTGATCTCATAGATTCCTGCACGAGGACAAAATCGGCTCAATAAAGTGAAAAAGTCGTTGAAGTCTTTGTGCCCATTTGTAAAGTGTGTGCATTAAGGAGCAAATACAGTAGGAATGAATCTGTCTGGCCAGCAATTAGACTCAAACCTGGACCTTTGTCTCCGTTTGATGGTCTTAGTTAAAACACAATAAGTTCAGTCACCTTTACAACACCTTCAGCATTGATGCCCTTGATGACTGAGAATCCTCACTGACCTGCTGTCTTGAGTTAGTAATCCATCCATCCATCCATCTTCTGAACCCGCTTTGTCCACGCAGGGTCGTGGGGGGGCTGGTGCCTATCTCCAGCAGTCAACGAGCAAGTAGGCGGGGTACACCCTGGACAGAGAGCCAGTCCATCGTAGGGCAACACAGAGACACACAGGACAAACAATCATGCACACACACACACCTAAGGACAATTTAGACAGACCAATCAACCTAACAGTCATGTTTTTGGACTGTGGGAGGAAGCCGGAGTACCCAGAGAGAACCCACACATGCACAGGGAGAACATGCAAACTCCATGCAGAAAGATCCCAGGCCGGGAAGCGAACCCAGGGCCTTCTAGCTGCAAGGCAACAACTCTAACCACTGCACCACTGTGCAGCCCTGAGTTAGTATTTTAAAATCAAATTTAACTTTTTAAATCCTCAAATAGGAATACCAAGGATAGGGCAATGGTTCTCCCATCATCACATCATCTGTTCTCATGAGGGCATGGGTTATGTAAGTGTCTGAAACTGGGTAATATAAGACAAGACATGATTGGATGGGGACAGGACTGGACCACTAAGCACACAGGTTTTGCTTTTTAAGGCAACACATTGAAACTTGAGTACTATCTGTGAAAAAGAAAAGAGCATCAGTGAGTCAATGTGGATGGAAAAAGGGAATTAACAGTACGTAAAACAAAAATACAAAGTCTGCATCCTAAAGGATAAACATTATATGCAGAAAGTGTTCAGCAAGAAAGTAAGTAAAATGGATTTATAGAACACCTTTCACAGATATGTACGTCACAAAGTGCTGTACAGCACAAGTAAAATCCATCCATCCATCTATTTTCGGCCGCTTATCCGGAGTCGGATCGCAGGCGGCAGCAGCCTACAGACTGGTTTATGCTTGACGCATTTACTTTCCGCTTGGTGATGCGGCTCGCGGATGGAACGTGCTTCACAACTTGCAGCGTTTATGGTTCATGCGGCTCGTCTCTGCGGTGAGCCAATATTCTCCCAAACTGTAGGGGGCAGCATGGAGCTCTACGGCATGCATCCAACACTACACCGTAGTAGAAGTAGAAATTACTGTTTACAACATGGCATTCCAGCATTTTTTAACAGCGTCCTCGTCTTTTCCGACAGTGCAAGCTATTTCTCTCCAAGAATTATTAACAACATGTTGATCACGGTGATCTCTGAGAGCTGAATCATACAAATGTCTGTATTTAGGAACCTCTGCCATACTAGCTATTGCCAGTCCGCCATGTTTTTCCGTGTTCGACCGTCCGCGTGGTTAGAAAATTTCCTAGGTGCGCGATGCGGAAAGTTTGGGCCGTGCGGAGGTGCGGTGGAGGGGTGTGGTTGTTAAAATGATGCAATTTTGCCACACGGAGCCATGCGAACCTCACGGACGCGCCAAGCATATACCAACCTTAAGCAGAGAGGCTCAGACTTCCCTCTCCCCAGTCACTTGGGCCAGCTCCTCCAGGGGAATCCCAAGGCGTTCCCTGGCCAGGCGAGAGACAGTCTCTCCAGTGTGTTCTGGGTTTTCCTTTTAGTCTCCTCACAATTGGACGTGTCCAGAAAACCTCACCAGGGAGGCATCCTGACCAGAGGCCCGAGCCTCCTCAACTGGCTCCTCTTTATGTGGAGGAGCAGCGGATCTACTCCGAGCTTCTCACCCTATCTCTAAGGGAGAGCCCAGCCCCTCTGCGGAGAAAAATCATTTCGGCCGCTTGTATCCGTGATCTCGTTCTTTCGGTCACTACCCAAAGCTCGTGACCATAGGTGAGGGTAGGAATGTAAATCGACCGGTAAATCGAGAGCTTCGTCTTCTGACTCAGCTCTCTCTTCACCATGACAGACCGGTACAACGCCCGCATCACTGCAGAAGCAGCACCACCACCTGTCGATCTCACGCTCCATCTTTCCCTCACTCGTGAACAAGACCTCGAGAAACTTCTCCAC